TCAACGTTAGTGTAAATTTAACTTTCAGTATCAACAACTGTATAGAATTGTTCCCATAACATTTTTCAGATATTAGTTTACTAATGAAACAGTAGTTAAAAAGCGGTTTTTAATTTCCTTTTCTACATATCATTACTGTTTGTTACATCAATTCTAACATGGATTTTGTGTAGGCATAAATATTTTTTCATGACTTAAAAACCTTTGTTACTTAGACTCCAAATAAGGAGAATTATTATGTATTCACTTTCATTGTGGAATCTGTAATAAACTACATTAAGCATTATAGAAATTATTTTTTCTTTTAAAGCTTTAGTAAATGTAATTTTTTTAAAAAGTAGTTATTATTGTGTTGTGATATTTTCTTTAATCATTGCTTTTGTATTATTTTAATGTTTATTTAGTTTTCTCTCCATTTTATCTTTAATTATTTTTTTGTTTAAAGTCAGTTTTATTTAGTAAACTTAATTTACATTTCTCATTACACTTGGATTTTAACTAATCCAGAGTCTTTTGTTTTTTTTTCGTAGTAAAGATTACCAATCTTTCAAAGTGTGCTTCTCATTCATTTTTTCCTTCTTTCTTATTTTCTTACACTTAAAAATCATAAAAATTATACTTTGTTCTATTTAGTTGATTTTCTCTTTGGTTATTTGTAAATTCCGTATTTTGTAAATTCTATCTTTTCCATTGTATTTTTCTCAATTTTACAATGGTTAAGTTGTTTGTATTTTGACGTCTAATTTTATCAGAAGCAGGTTGAATGTTAGTCAATTTTATAATATATTTTTTTAATAGATATGCGTATATCCGTTGGCAACAAACAATGTAATGTTTTTTTCAATTTCTTTTCTCTTCTTGATGCGGCAAAATCTATAATTTTTTTAATTTCTTTTCATGTTGCATGATTACTAAAGATGAATACGCTTTAGTAAATAAATGTCCATATGATGAGCCTGTGTATTTTTATATGATCGCTATCAGAAAATGAAGTTTAAGCCAGTAATAATAATAAAGTATGTTTTCAAAATGGTAAACAATTCGATCTTAACTCTATCGTTCATTGCATGTCATGATTATTATCGGGGATATATCTAATTTCGATTTCATGTTAAATTTTCTGCATATTATTATTGCTATTAAGTTACAAAGTAGAATAAAACTTTTGTCAATCGCTACTTGGTTTGTAAACTTTTTCCTTACTAATTCCAATGTTTAATCCATACGAAGTTGAGAATTATTCAATCTCTACATGCCTTTATTCAAAAATATTTTTTTATATCATGAAACATCAGCTAGGCTAAGATTCTCGTATACCTGAAGATTCATTTGAGAATAAGAAACGTGGAATGGTATAACCAATCTACGAATAAAGTAAGATTGATTACTTGATATTCATCAATGATAGTTAGAGTTTATGTTTACTTATAAAAGTTAAAATGAAGCCAAAGTCAACACCATGAATGAGTGATATGTTTCAGTGTTTTGAAAATAGTATATTATTACTGTTTAGGTTCATTCTGTCAAGCATACTCATATATATAACTCACATTCGGTACGCGTTACAAATGTTAATTTCTTACCTTATGTCTAATAAGGTAATCATGAATTATTTAGCTGAAATAAATTCAGTGAGTAGTTTACAATATTGTTTGGACTTTACATAATAATACGATATAGTTTTGGCTCACGTCTACTAAGTGTTCAAGATTAATTGTGACTATATTGGACACAACTTATCACTTGCAAACATATCTTTGTAAACATGCAAGTTGACAATTTTTAGTTTATTAAAGAAAAAAGATGATGTACTGTTTGTTTTTAGGTCCTAACAATTAAAGGTCTGTGACAAAACTTCAATTTGATAGAACAGATGTTTTTAAGACCATAATACAAGATACTGAATCAAGAAATTTAAAAGCCTATAGTCAACTAACATGCTAATTACAAATAGAAATAATAATACTGTGTTAATGGTAACAAACAATCAGTAATGGGTTTCAGTATCTATGTAGTAGTTTTTGAATCAAAAACTGAAATGTATTGTCATATATTTTATTTTGCATCCGGTCATCTCTCCGCAGCGGCTTTGACATAGGATGATAAAAAGCCTACGTAATGATCATGAACAATGGTTAGAAGCAAAAGCAGAAAAAATGAAAAATTAGCTGTGATAGGTAACAATAAACAACTGTTTAGATTTTTCAAGCAAACGGATATCAAATATCCAACTTTTAGTGAATTCATCTATGAAAAATACAGGACTATTATTCACTCTCAAACCAGGATATTAGACCGATGGTCAGAAAATTTCAGGGAACAACACAACTGACCGTCAGCTACACTCTAGTTACCCACTATCTCCAAGCAACCGAAATGGGAAAATAATGTAAGTTCTCCAACTCTTTGTGTCATCAAAAAGGCCATAGGCAATCTAAAGCGAGAAAGGGCAGCAGAACCTGATGACCTTACTCCTAAGGTTTTCAAGAATATTGGTCAAGTTTTAGAAGTTGGATTAACTGAAATCTTAGCTAAAATTCGGGAACTGGACGTCAGCTCATCCGACTGGTCTCGACCTTTGATCGTTCCAGTTAAAAAGAAATGACAAAAATTCTCTTGTAACAGTCAAAGAAGAACCAGTTTAACTATTATAATTTCCTAAATATTAGCCTTAATAATTCTTCGGCGTCTAACTAGAGATTGTGAAGAGCAAAATAGAGTAAATCGGGCTGGTTTCAAACTTGGACTTGGATGTATAGACCAAATGTATACCCTTCTGGAGATTCTGGAACATGGACATACTTTTTATGCCATACTATTGTTGTACTCCGTGACCTTAATGCACCGTTCGAATTTGTTAATTGTGAGTTTCTATGGCAGTATCTGTCATTGAAAGGCGTACTAAAGAAATAGATTAACCTTGTACAGGCTCTCTTCTCTAACACTTCTGGTCAAGTCTAAGCTTATGGCGATCTGTCATCGGAATTGAAATATATATAGAACTGAAAAAATATATCTGCTCCCTTGATTTTCACTTTCTTTTCCATTTTCTGGTTAAACTTCCTCATCAACAAGGTCCATTTACATAAATAAGTAATATTCTGTACTAGAAAAATTTATTGTTACGAAATACTATTAAATTTAGCATTCGTATTAGCATATTATGTAAACCTATTTCTGTAGTATCATTTCGTGTCTATTCTTATTGAAATTGATTTTCGTTTCAGTCTCTTATCATTTTTATATGTATATATCACTATACTAAGATTTCTATCAGTTATTTATTTGAGAGTAGGAAATATACTTCAACAAATACTACTGATTAAACTTTTTCATCTATCCTATGTATTTGTATATAAAATAAATCGACTATTATTCTGAGAAATATATATTACATCGGGATACTATAGTTGTTCGTTTCAAAGTTTATTAAACCCATACTTATTGCCATCAGAATTTTCCATTAATTAATTTACTTGTACATGATATTACTCTCCATACACATTACGATTCCTTTCTTTTTTTTAAAAAAAATTTTCCGCCCCAATTTCACTCTTTTTCTAATTCGTGACTAAATCCGTTGAATTTTTTCATTCTCTAAATATTGAATACTTCATTTCCTTTGAATAGTGAATTATTTTGATTGTATTATTATTATTATTATTATTATTATTATTATTATTATTATTATTATTATCCGTATTATCGTACACATATAATTCATATAAAATTTAATGTCATTGAACCGTTTAAAATTCATTATTGTTATTAATTACTTTCATTCATTAAAAATAGAATGTTTATATAAAACAAATGAGCTTTACATGAACTAATAAAAAGGAATAATCTCATTTTATTAGTAATATATATAGTTAGTATGTTGCATTTTTTTCTTTCATTGTTGAACAAAGTACAAAGTAATTTGTTTTGTACAAGAACTTTACATATATTTAATTGGTAGTTACTTTTTTTCTACATACAGAAGGAAAGTAGATCGCATATTTAACGTTTCTTTCTTAGTGAAACCATACAATCCTATATTTGTTGGTCATATCTAATGTAAAAGATATTAGATAAATTGATTCTTTTACAATGTTCTAATTTTCTAGTAGTTAGTATTTAATTAATATTTACAATGGAATTAGACGATAAAAGACAATTGTAATTCATTGTGTAATGTATGAAAGTAAGAAAAAAAAGTTGGACAAAGAGAGCAATATAGAATATGCCACATTTTAACAGTAATTAATGTAATAACTAATATGTCGGTTACACAAACACCATTGGAAGAATGGTCTGTTAGTCTCTATTAGAAGTATACTGAAGAAATGAGTTTATCAGACAATGAATTTTTTTTCTGCAGAAAAAAAGCTTGCAATAATTCTTTTTGGTTTGTAAATTTTGTCACCCGTTGTATCCAATGATTTCGTAATATATAACTAATCTCCTTTAACTGTAAACGATATTTAAGAACTCTCGTTTAAATTAGAGCGAATAGTTTCACAGTATTTGAGCGCCGAGTTGATGTAAGACATTATATAGGAATAATATATATTTGTAAAATCTCAGCGAATGAATTTGTAGTCAATCCAACGTTTCGCCTGGCAATCTGGTCCAAGCTTTTCAAGGAATTATCCTTCAATTCCTTGAAAAATCTTGGACCAGATTGCCAGGCGAAACGTTGGATTGACTACAAATTCATTCGCTGAGATTTTACAAATATATATTATTCCTATGTAATATGTAAACGATATTGTCTGAAGATATATCAAATTTGACACAATTGGTTATTATCACTTAATCCAACATATGCATGGTTGTTAATCAATTTCCTACAAATGATTCAACGTTATCCAATACGTCGTTCTGATAATTAGCTTAATTATCTGGTCATTTTTTTCCTAAAACGTTTTATTTAATTGTTTACTGAAGATTCTAGCATTGGGTAAAACGGAATAATATTTCATTTTCTATATGCTTTTCTTAAACACTTCTTTTAGGAGCACCAAGACTTCTACAGGCCATTGCTCAAGACAATGTTATGCCATTCTTGGATGTTTTCAAAGTGATTACAAAACGTGGTGAACCATTACGTGCACAACTACTATGTTATGGAATTGCACAACTGGGTATACTAATCGCTTCAATAGATTATCTAACACCTCTGATAACCATGTATGTTCTACTGTGTTCTTTGTTCATAACTTGTCTTTTGTTTGTATGTATTCGGTATTTTTGATCGTTGTTACAAAGAAAGGAGCATAACAATATTTAATTTACTTACAAAATATTGAAACTGATCAGTTTGAAAATTAACATACGGCTCATAATGAAATAGAAGAAGCAAAAGCTTAATTGATATTCAGAAACACATAAATCCAGTAGTTGATTTTCGGCTATATTCAAGGCGCAAGAGAAATTATATCAAATTGCAGAAACCCAGCTTTACGACATATGTTAGTTCTATCGCAGGATACGCCTAAAATCAGAAGGATTTCATTGATCAGCTAGGAGATCTAGACGAAATATGGCATTAAATTCACTTGGTATTGTTTGTTTGAATCTTCCCATTGATATTAAAGACTGCAATTGATCAGTGTCTTATTGACATATGTGCATACTGTGCGAATCGCCTCGATATAGCCTTAATTCACAAACATTATAAGCAAAGATGGATAGTGTGAAGATTCAAACAAGCAATACTAAGTGAATTTAAACTTCACCCCATTGCATAAGAAAGTGGCTATCAAGACTCAGTAGCTAAGTGGATAACACGATGGCGTTTTAGACGAACGGTAGTGTGTTCGAGTCCCAGAGTGAGCATCAACTCTGAGATGCAGGTACATCCAGCTAACGAGTCCCAAATAATACGAAACACTCGTCCTTGATTCCACCGCCAGCCACTATACATCTTAGCTTAAAATATGACATTGGTTTACCTACCAATTGTCGGTACTTGAAAATATTTAAATCCCTAAGTAGTTCAGTTAATGTCGTAAAACGGCAACATAACATCTCAAAGTGTAAAAGTAGATGACACGGATTATCGGTTACCTGATGGCTATAAATAAACCTCGCTGGCAAATAATAACTAGCACAGCATCTAGATACTCTCTACTTCCAACCACCTAACATCAAATACTAGATTGTCCTCGTCAGCTGAAATTTTTAGTATTAATAGGCTGAAATATTCATAAGGCGTTTGATTTATTTTCTCGTGAACCAATCTCTTCTATTAATCGTAGTCTAAAAGTTATTACCTGTTCAAATGAGTCAATAGATTGAACAGTAACACATTGGTCACTGATTATAAGTTAAAAATACGTTACACAGTAAACATGACGTTTAATTCGGTTTTTGTCTTTGTAGTTTCTGCCTAATAAATCTGTTTTATTTGTCTTATTACAAAGTTAAATTAGCTATAAACAATCAGAAATGAATTTACACAACAAGTTATTTGCCATTTTTATATAAACCTGTAATTAGTTTTAATTATTGTGGTCGTTATATCCAATAATTATATGTAGCTAATCACATAGTTGTTCTACAATGTATTTGGAATTTTTCTAGGGTTTTTCAATGCAATCTATTATGTTTTGCTTGTACATAACAATACAGTTTATATATACATGGTTAGAAGTCTTTGTGAATCAGTTAATAAAACCTTTAACTAACTACGTATAAATAATTATAGTAACGAATTAACAAAAAACTATTATAATTTTGACTTGATTCTATCCAACACACGTATAATTGCTTACCAAACTTTGAGGAGTTATCAGTGAAAGGATAATATTCCCAACCTATTAATCTATACAATCATCACACTACAACTGATCAGAATTGTTATTAAATACAACAAGAGAAAATACAGTTATACTTTTTCTCCGCGAATACTTCATTTTGTCTGTTTCTTTCGTTTTATTTTCATTAAAAACACTTCAAATATTACATTCAATCTTCACATAAGTACTCTTTTAATCTTTTATAGTTTTTACACAAATATACTATGAGTGTCATTAACCAAGGATGACTAAGTATGTATTTTTTTAAAAAGAAACCAAAATATCCAACTGCCCATTAACAAATGACTTCAAATGTTACCAGTCACAAACATTTTAAAATGGTTTCACTCTAAACATCCATAAGTATAACTACTTATCTTTTCAATAGTTCGCTTTACAAAGAAGAATCAATAGATCTTTTATATTTATTTATGCTACACACTACATATGCTACATACAATATGATTTATTTCTGAAATTTATATAAATTACTTCATAATGCTTTTCTTTTTATTAGAAGTAAGATCCAGACACCAAGTTATATAAATGTATGTACATGACAAGAAAATACCATGGTAAAACCTAGGCCAACATAATTTCTGTGTATATTATTTTTGTAGAAAAAAATCATTATATATTAAACTAGTTACATATTCCATATTTACTAAAAATTAAATAACTTGTAAAAAGTGTAAAGAAATCGATAAGTTAACCATTGACATAGTAACATTACGTTTATCATTCTAATTAATGTAACAGGAAAATGCAATAAGCGTTGTTAGTAAAAAAGCCTTGACCAGTGAAGTTCAGCCTTGTCAAGCGTGAAACAAATATTATGAATGGTGATAGATGATGGGTGCACAATACCTTCAACTTAATAATGCTAAACGTGTAGTCCTTCGGATCTCACCTCTTGGACTCAAGATTTATATGCTCGCCGAAATACTTGTATTTCCTGAGTTCGATCGCTTATATGGTCATGGGATTGCCCTGCTAAAAAATCATATAATAGAACGAAACAATTGACTAATGCTTCCTGATTTTCAATGCCTTTTTAACGAACGCTATTTAGTGATGAAAACAGTGATATTACAGAGAGGTTAAAATTGATAGTTATTCATTGCACACATTTCATTTTTGGCGCCCTTGATTTCCAAAGATTATTGATAATAAATAATCAGATTCAGATCTTAGCGAACACAATAAATACATATAATTCTAACACACAACAAAATTATTATCAAATACTGAATCAAGAATAAGATCGTACAAACGGCTAGTTCCATGAATTTAATATTTAACTAACGATGTATTGAGGAAGTGTTTACAGATATATAAATGACTATAATAAGTTCGTAGGATGCCTGACTGACTAATATCTAACAATCTATATGGATGACTGAATAAAATCAGGGTTTTCTAGGTTTTATGTTTAGATCTTTGTGAGCCTCTTCAGTTTAAGAGGCCGTATTCTGTGTGTTTGTCGTATTTCCAAATACTATTCATCTTATGGAAACAGCTGGTTTAAAATTCCTCAAAATTAACTACAACCACATAGTTCTATTCTTGTGCATAATTCGCAAAGTTCACTTAAATCTACAACTTCTAACCAGAAGATCAACATGAAATGATTACTTGTAGACTTATGTAAAATTTGAGTTACTTTTGTTACTACCCACTCAAAGTAAAAGGTAACCTAGTGTCATATTCCCGATAATCGTAAATTAATAATCTTTTGATGGATCAGTGATTATTATTTCATCTCCTTTTTGTTCAGAACTTCGTGATTCGTGTATAGCTAATAATAGCTCTGATTTTTTTATATTATTGTACATACTTTCATAGATTTTTAAAAAAATTACGTTATTAGTTTATTTTCATAGTTACCATCGTTACCTGATACATAGTTAAGAAATAATTACTGCCTAATTATTTACATAGAACTTTCTCATATATGCTACACTTCATTTGACAGATGGGTAATTCTGTGTATCCATAATTCATGCTAATAGTTACGTCATAAAAAGTGCTTTAAGTTCCAAATTACTGTTACATCATACTGTTGCCTTAACAATATATTCGCTTATTGCCTTCGTATACTGTAATATCACGAGGAATACCAATTCAAAACTCATTTCTTTTCTTATTGATTTATATCACTGTTGATAGCCTGTATGTAGGATTCATTTCTATTTGACTAAGAATTTATGTTTACTATTCACTGTTACGAAGATGTACTTGCTATTTTAAAAGTTCAACGGTATGGCTATAAGAAAACATACAGTTTGTTTCTTATTAAGTGTGTTCTATCTTTCATTGAAATCAATAATCTTAACAGAACACATTTCAAATAGTTTGTAATAATAGTCTTAATTCAATAAAAAGTGTCATATTCCTTTTCAGATTTCATTTTCTTGTTTTTGTGTGGTTTAACTGATATCAAAACCTTTTGCTATCGCTTGTCATTTGTTAACCGGCTAAAAACAAATATACTTCCCTTCCCTCTCTTGTATTTATTACAAAGTGGTTATTTATCAAATAATCTAGTTGATTTTCCCATCACGTATACAAAATAACTTTCCAAAATTGGTTTGTCCATTAATCGAGTTTTCGACAAATTTTATTCTCTTTTTTTCACTAAACCCCTGAGTGAGAAAATGAACAATATCTTAGATGTGCTTGTAAATAATGGACTGCAACAATATTTTGTTTTCTACTTCAAATTTCATCATTTTTTTAATAGTTATCATGTTGTTTATTTATTTATTTATGGAAGAATAAATTATTATTATTATTTAGTGGTAAACAGAAATTCAATGGTGATAATAATAATTCTAATATTAAACTGTTTATTCAGAAAATAGATATTACACCATTTTCCACACTTACTTACTTAGAAAACTTCTTTTACATAGTATTTTTACACCAACTAATCAAGTAGAAATATTGTTCAGAATAGTATACCTATGAATAATTACATGTAGTGAGAAATCCCCCCTGATTTACATATGATACTTTCAATTCAGTGCTACACTTAATTTGTATGCCATCTATACTGGCGCTTGTCATTTTTCATTGATTTTACTACAATATATAGTGTATTATTCTATCATTTCATTCTATTGGTACTTTCATGCAAAATTAATTATTTTTTTCATAGAAAAGATACTGTTTTGTGTTATCACTAGTATCTCCTCTAGTTGAAATTGAAAATAAATAGTGGTCAAAATTTTATATTTACAGGGCTGTTTCAAATAACATTATTTTAAAAATAATTGTAATCACTTACTATTACTATTATTTGGTGATCACTTTCATAACTTTAAACAAGTCTTAAGAGGGAAGAATGTAATTGTAATATCTCAGAGAACTAATTAGAAGTAAATCCAA